GCTTAACCAACTGAGCCACCCAGGCGCCCAGGAATTTTCTTATATAACCCTAGTGCAATGATCAAAATGATAAAATTAACATTGGCACAGTACTGATATTTAATCAGTGGTCCATATTGGAATTTTGTCAGTTTGTCCCAACTACAAAGTCTACTATAGAAAAAATAAATCTAGGATTGTGCATTGCACTGGGTTCTCATATTTCTTTAGATTTCTTTCTTCTGGACCAGTTCTTGAGTTTTTACATTTTATGTAATTGGCATTTTTGAAGAGTCCAAGCCAGTTATTTTGTAGAATGATATCAATTTGGGCTTCTTGGATATTTTCTCATGATTAGATTTAGGGTAAACCCTTTTAGCAGGACTAAAAGTGATACCAAATTCCCAGAAGTAATACCAAATTCTCAGTGCATTTGGATCAGGAGATTTGTGCTGTTGATTAGTCCAGATGTCCCTAAGCTTCCTTGGTTATTAGTTGGTTTTCTGTTTTAAGGAATTAGAGGATTTATTCCTTTATAATCATTATTTTTGCTTGATTTTTCTTTTTAAATTTATTTTTAACTTACAGTAAAATTCAGTCTTGTGATGTACAGTTCCATAACTTCCAACACATGTAGATTCACGCAGTTACCACCACAGTCAAAACAGAACAATTTTATCATTCCCCTAACCCTCCACAAATTCCCTTTGTTTTCAAGCCCTTTCCTCATCCTTAACCACACACCACTCACCCTGCAACTTCTGAGATGTTCTCTGACCTCATGGTTTGTTTTTTCCAAAATATGTGAATGAAATCATATAGTATGTGGCCTTTGAGTCTGTTTGTTTTCACAACATGGTGCACTTGAGATTCATCCAAGGTGTTGTATATATCAAGAGTTTGTTTCTTTTTATTTTGAGTAATACGGTGTTCCAGTTATCCATTCCCCTGTTGACATTTGAGTTTCTAGGTTTTGATGATTAGGAGTAAAGCTGCTGTGAATATTTCTGTACAAGTTTTCATTCTACTTAGGTAAAAAAGTAGGGATGGGATTGTTGGATCCTATTGTAAATGTATATTTAACTTATAAAAGTTTGCCAGACTGTTTTTCTGAAATGGTTTGTGCCATTTTACTTTTCCACTGGCAGTATGTGAACATTTCAGTGACTCTGCATCCTCACCACTACTTGGTGTTGCCAGGTTTTTTTAAAGCCATCCTAATAGGTGGCTGGTGATGTCTTCTTGTAGTTTTTTTTTTTTTTTTAATGTTATATTAGTCACCATACATTACATCATTAGTTTTTTTTATTATGATGTTATGTTAATCACCATACATTACAT